GACCGCTCACATCCAAGCCTGTATCTGTATACAAACTGTATCTCTACTGTACATACACATTTTGTCTATTTATGTTTATTTGCATACATGTGTGTATTTTATTATTTCTTATTATCTGTGTGTTGTTGTTGTCTTGTGTACTGGAAGCTTCTGTCACCAGAACAAATTTCTTGTATGTGCAAACATACTTGCCAATAAAGCTCTTTCTGATTCTTTCTGATACATTTATATAATTAAACTATATAAATACTTTGCATATTAAATATTTTAACCATATATTTAGTATAGTAAATACATAACATATATGAAAATATCTCTTTACTTTTTTATCTAAATATTTGCATTTTGTTTTTTATGGTTTATTATTTTATTATTTAAAAAATGATAAAATTATACATGTAATATGCAAATCACAATACGCAAATATTGCATAGCTCTATTTTCATCAGAGGAAGTGAAACAGGCACGTACAATCAACTGTAACATTCACCCCACACGACTATGGGCGAAGTACAAAAAGGAAGTACAAACTGAACGACAAATAAAAACCATTAGCATTGGGCAATAAGACAGTTTGGAAACAAAAATAAAAACTTACATTTAACTCAATGATCCAGAGCAGAGTGATGAAGAGGAGGTCAAATGTGACGAAGAGGCAGAATGTTCGGCGTACGTCTGAGAAGGCTTTCCTCTCTCCCGGGGGCAGCGGGGGGTAGTAAGGGGAGGGAAGGGAGAGAGATGCCTGGGAATATGAGGCGTTCAAAGAGGCAATGGCTGGAAGACTTCCTCCCAACTCGCTGTAGTCCACGCCGCTCGGCATAACTACATCCAGCTGGAGCACATCCCCTGAACCAGAGAAGAAAAGATGATCAAACAGTCTAACAAACATACATGCTTTATATGGCTCTTATGCAACAAGATACTGCAATTAAACTGAAAGCACAGTGATCAAAGCAACAGGCTGGAGAACAAGATCTAATCAAGCAGCCTTTGACCACTTTTAAAGCTGGTCTAAAGTCATGGCTTAACAAAAGGCTTGCCCTATGTAGTGTATCTGATTGCATATTATACTGTATATGCACTAAATATTACATTTTGCATTCATGTCCAGTAATCATAAACATATTTTTACACCTTGTGAATGTAAATAATTTGTTTTCTGTTATGCGCTGAACACTGTTGATTTAAATAATCAATGTCACTATGGTTGCATTAACTTGGTTTTGTTGAATTAATAAGAATAATTTGTGA